TTTTAAGTGTACCCAGCCTTAGGCTGGGTTCACACCTGGGGGTTTTTCAGCGCTGATCGAAGCGCTGCAAAAACGCTCAGCAAGTGAAATCCCATGAATCCCTATAGGCATGGTTCCTACCTGGGCGTATTTCATCCCGTGGAAATGCGCTGAAAAATGTAGGGGGGCGGAGCCGGCGGGAAGTTTGAAAGTTTAAAAAAGAAAAAAAAAATTAAAAAAAATCATACTGCCAGGGAGGTATAAAAACGACCGTCGAACGCGCGTTTCACTGAACGAAAAAACGTTCTAAAAAACGCACAAAAAAATGAGCAGAAAAAACTTGCCTATAGTACGCCCAGGTGTGAACCCAGCCTTAGGCTTCTGTGGTCACTGGCAGCAGCCTGGCTCCCCCCCTCACTTCATCCTTACTAAAAACTAGTGTCTACACTCATCACATCACATGAGGCTTAAAGGAGCAAGCCAGAATCAGTGACCACAGAAGTTGTCTAGTAGTTGCATTATAGAAGTTACCGGAGGTACTCACACTTTGATGAGATTGGTGGTTTACTCTTGTTTTAGGGCCACAGATTTTACCTTTAAGTGTTCAGCTTTTCACCATTTATTCTTTACAGGTCCTGAAAAGAGAACTATGAGGTAAGTGTTTTTCCCCATAGTTCTCTTAAGGGTCACAGAAGGACATATACTAGCTTCCTCCTGGGACCCAAAGCTCAGTATACCGCGAGCTATAGCTTGCGGTATACTGAGACCGCCGCAGCCGGGACGGATCCCAACATTACTGTTGAGATCCACCCAGCTGCATGAGTGAAAGCTGGCACTACCTATCTAGAGGCAAAGCCAGCTGTACCTGTCCCCTCTGTGTCCGCGCAGTCAGCGCTGGAGGATCGCAGTGGGGAGGGCTGTGGGAGTGTCCCACTATGAACCCCTACAATATGAAGGACAAAATATTTAATTGTGTTTAATTGTTTTGAAACAAATACCATATTTACTGTGCACCATACCAACTAGAAGAAAAACCTCTAAATATGAGAAATATTGTATTATAATTAAGTGATCTTAACTCTTTGAGGACTCATGGATGCAAAATATTTGATGCAGGAGCATTGTACTCATTTGGTTTGTCTAACTGTTTACGATGTGTCATTAATAAGACACTGTGGTACAATAATACTACAATGACATTGTTCATCAGCACAATCATTTACCATCATATGGAACTAATGAGAGTGAAAGAAATTTGGATAAAATTGCTTTTCCTTTGTCTACACAAATTTTGTTAAACAATGTTGTCTGGATATTCTTTTGATTTTCTAATAGTTAATGAGGTCAAATTGATGATCGTTTTCAACCATAGTGACAAAAAAAATTGAAGCAGGGTGGAAAGTTTTGTTTTGCAATGTTCTAACAGGGAATGTGGTTCTTGTTGGGAAAACTCCATCCATTTCTTAAAAATTTTGAACAGCATTTGTCATGTTTCTGATGGCATTATCAAATGCTCTGGCTTTATTTTTCATATGATCATTCCTATGAAAATCCACCAGTGCACCAAGCACTTTACACTTGGACTCTGGGCAAGCAGTGAAACTGCAAAAGGATTTTTGTTTCTGTCCAACCAGTCCAGAGATTTTTACAGCGTGCCAAATAGTAGAGCCCAGATGGGTGACCAAACCTGACTACAACTAAGCAATACATCGGCCCCCTCCAGGCCTGCAGCCTGTGATTGGAAGATGGAACAAGGTACTGTCCCTCTCCCAGATCGAGTGCACAGCTCCCAACTGTCACTCTTTTTAAGGGACTGTCACTCTTTTTGGAACCAAATCCCACTGTCCATTTTTTTCATCTCATTTGTCTGTCATTTAGTTGTGATGTGCCGACCACTATAAAAAAAAGTGACATAGGAAAAGTGTTTTACTACACCAAACTATTCGTCCACCCCAAACCAAATAATTGGTTATTATTCTGGGGGGAAAAACAGTATAAAGGAAAAATGAGATGATGATGATGATGATGATGGTGATGGTGATAATGAGATGATGATGATGATGATGATGATGGTGAGAATAAGCCTTAGTCAGTTTAACCAGCCATTTTTATTTTTTCCCTACGCACTTTGTGCTTTACTGTGTCTCTAAAATTAGCATGATGGAGATCTAAATGGTGACAGTGCAAAGCGAACAATACCTCATTGTGTGGAGGGGAAGCTGATTGAGCCGCGGCTAGAAGATCATGACTATAACTGTATGTAGTCCGGATTAGTACAGTGATTGTCTGTTGCCCCAGTAGCCCTCCACATATCAGATATGGATACTTACACTGAGCCAAGCTGGACCAATGTAAATTTCCGTAACTACACATCAATGGTTCGGCCCCACCTGGAGTATGCGGTGCAGTTTTAGGCACCGGTCCACAGAAAGGATGTCCTTGAACTGGAGAAAGTCCAGCGGAGGGCGACCAGACTCATAAAGGGGATGGAGGACCAGAGCTATGAGACACGGCTACTAAATTTAAACATGTTTACGTTGGAAGTAAGGAGATTAAGGGGGGGCATGATTTTCATGTACAAAATGTTCCATAGTCATAGCAACATTAGCAACAAACTCTTTGAGATTAATTCCGTAACAAAGACTAGAGGACACCACCTAAAACTGGTAGAAAAAAAATTCAAACACAAGTGGCGAAGGGGGTTCTTCTCAGTCCGCGCGGTTAGGGTCTGGAACTCACTGGGGGTGATTTACTAACCTAAACACACACACACACCAGGTGTGTGTGATTTTCACACAGCAAAACGTATTTATCAACCAAAAAGTCTCTAAAAGCATATTTCCACGAATGCCATATATGGAAAAATCATGCACATGATGCATATATAATGCTGCTTCACAGTTTAGACAAAAATGGTTAGCTCATGCATTTACATTCCTTGCATTCATCAACGCAAGCAACACAACATAGAGCTAATTTACCCAACATCACCTTGGAATTCCTTCAGGGCTTTGCACAACACACCTGCTGGGTGTGTACACATTACAAAGGTGTTTAGATTCCACCCATAGATCATGCTGGGAGGGAACACACTGCAGAGGTGTATACACATTCGTGGTGTGTTTATAAGGTTAGTAAATCAACCGTACTGCCTCAAGCGGTAATTTCCGCAATTAATCTGGAATCATTCAAGAGGCTTTTGGACGACTTCCTGAGAGACCGAAATGTACAAGGGTACAGGTACTCTTAAGAATGAGAACACTCATGGACCTATACACACACACACACACTCACAACAGTTTGGACTTTGATGGAATTTATATTCTTTATTCAACCTCAAATACTATGTAACTATGTAACTATGTAAAAGATTATTCCTGAAGTTCCACTTTAAGCCGTAAAAATCTCCCTTTTATTTTAATATCTTTTTGCAAATCATATAGAAGTTTGTTTTTTTTTGCAACCAAATAAATATTTTGTACATTTTTTTATGTGAAACTAAAATAATTAAAAAAGAAATGTATACATTTTTTTTTTAAATATTAATGTTTGAAAACATAGAAGTTAAAAATCAGCAGAAAAATAACAGCTAAGAGGAATTAATCAAGGCTGATCGGGGTTAACTAAGATATAATAAAGATTCAACTATGTATGACAAGGTTCTCATTTATTCAGGTCATAGTGTAGTTAGTGGTAGCTGCTTATAGCTTAGTAGGAATGTGCCAGCAGACAAGAGGAGATGGCCCGTGGTCATGAATACATCTGATTACCATTCTGAGGTGACCACTTTTCTCACTGATGCCAACGCCTATGAGTCAAACAGCTGGCAAAGGTAAGCCTTGGATTGGATCCAGTACCACAGTCTGTATTAAGTTTAGAAAATGGGGGGCATAAAACAATGTACCGCATCACTGCAATTCATATAAATAAAGTACAGTTTGGTAACTGACCCTAATATCTCCTTATGTAGAGTGTCAGTTGTCCCGATCCTCTACCTACCACAGCTCATACACACTGACACTATAGCTTCTCTCAGCCCGCCGGTTGTACAATGAGGGATGGATTAGAAAGCTCGACCCTATTATTGGCGGCTTTGAGGATGCTACTAGGATTATTGGCTATGCATTCAGGGCCGGCCTTAGGCCTTTAGGCGCCCTGTGCGAGAAAGCTTTACAGCGCCCCTCAGTGGCCACACCCTTTAGTGGCCACGCCCCCGTAACCACACCCATTTCCCCCAATATATGCACCATTTAAAGACTCCTATTTTGTTAAGCCGCAAAGAAACATATTAAAAAGTGTGATAAAAATAAAACTTTTATTCAAAGGTATTAAACTTGTAGGCACAATAGAAGTATTCTTATCAAATAAAACAACAGAAGGTAAACAA